TTCCTGTGGTCTTCTTTCTTGAAAAAGACACTAGAACTCCCGTTCTCCAGTACGCTGGTGTCTTCCCGTCGCTGTACCAGTTTGACAGACACGTATAAGCCAGCACGTGCCTTGTTCGCCTAATGCTTTGAGCGTTTCAGGGCGGATTTCATCAATTCCAACAGCCTTTCCATTTTTCAACCTTTTCACAGCTTGTGTAATTTCATCTGCAGAAATAGTATAATATCCCTTCCGTGCTGCTCTGCAAGCGAGTATTCCTGCGGCTGTTCGAGGTTAAGGATTTCCTCAAAGAACACCCTCAGTCGCCGAAGGATGTCTTTATCCTTGGTAATAGGGTGTCCAGACCTGTTCTTCAAGACTCTGAGACTGTCCGTCTTTTCACCTCGGAGGCGGCGGATGGTCTGCCAGAATACTTTTTTTGCCTTGTAGAAATTCGACTCCAAAACCTCACTGAACTTCTCCTAGAAATCATCTTTGGCTTTTGCCACTGCTATGGCTGCCGCCTTGCGTGCCTCGACATATCGCACGCGTGTAGATGGCTCCTTGTTTCCTAAGCCCATTTCTTGAACTCTGCCTTTGTTCTCTTTAACTGCCAGTTGTATCTCTCGTTTCCACCACGAAGATCTTTGCTGACCTCCAGGCGGCAGGCCAACCCGTTTATATCCGCAGCATTCGGCTGCAGCCTCGAGTATGCCGCACTTAAAGAGCTGCCACTCGGTTTCAACATCACTTATCGTTACTGGGATCTGTTAAAACCGTCGTGCGATGTTGTTTGCAAATTTCGTGCCCATTGAAGATAATGTTTCCCATTTGATTCTGCTGTTGCTTCTGCCACCAGATTTTCGTATGGTACTCCATTTCTTACAAGGTAGAGTGCCAACAACGAGGTAGTGATCAACTGATAGCTTTGAGCCTCTCTTAACTCGAACAACCATTGCAGAGCTTCTTATATCAGACGATACGGTTATCAAATCGATCATCACTTCTGTACACAGGCTTCCCGGTACCAGGTGTACTGATGCACTTTTCGATACTGGAGGAAGGTGTTCATAATGGACAGTCCGTTGTTTGCACAAAACAGCAACAACTTTATGCCGTTATTGTTGAGGTCACTAGGGCCGTTATTTCCAATCACGCCTTTCCACTTTTCGGCGTCTACTCCGACATGAGAATCGGCCATGAGAGCGAGGGACTCCGTAGTTGGCACTTCGTACAGAGTAAATTCCACTTCATGAAGGAAGGAGTCATATAGTTCGACTAAATTTGGCGCACGGACCTGTGAAAGGTCGCAACTGTAGTCTGATGCAGCCTGTATCAACGAATTTTCACTTTTCCGCTGACAGGCTACCATTCAATGGTTCTGTCGGCCAGGTTTGTTTCTACGAACATAAACTCCTGAGCACTCTTCGTGATATCGATACCTGAGTGGAATATCTTCCACCCGCAAACGTTCAGTAGTCCAGAGCGTTTCGTTGAAGAGAGTCCAACACTGTCGAGTTGGTACTTTATAGCCTCATCAGCAAACTCTTGCTCTTTCCCTCTGATT